CAACAGCTTCACTATCCAAAATAGCCATACATTAAAAACATTAACCATCATTACATTGCCATGCACTGTCAAAAAAGCCAACACATTCACAGTCCAAAATAGCCATACATTAAAAAAAGCCACTGTCATTACATTGCCATACATTATCAAATAAACCAACACATTCACTGTCCAAAATAGCCACACATTAAAAAAACCACCACTGTCCAAAATAAACCATCCACATTACACCATTAGTACAAAATACCCACCACTATCCAAAACAAACCCACCACTGTCATTACTTAGCTTTATATTAAAAACATAAGAAAATACTAATATGCAGTCAACCATTTCTTCAATTTGTCCACCAAAAAAGCTGCACAAAAAAGTTGCTACCGCTTTCATCAACATGCCATCATTCTTGTGTGTTAAGTGTGGAAGGAAAGTCCATATGAACCACTTCATATTGGGTGGATGTTGATGCCTATTCAATGGATGGAAAGTATCTGTTAGTTCAGTTTTGTTTAATGTAACGTAAAATAAAATAATAAGAGGTTGAATAATAATACCTATGAATGACCAACAATAGCTCTTCCACCAAAACCAAGACCAACACCATAATGTTGGGTGGATGTTAATGGCTATTAAATAAAGCAAAAAATGTCAACCTACATGTGTTTATAATGTATAATAAATATGAAATAAAAAAATATAATTTTTACCTCTGAATGAAGTACAACAGGTCTGTTACCAGCTCTGCCAGCACTGCCACCACCTCTAGCAGCTCTGCTACCACTGCCACCACCTCTAGTAGTACTACTAACACCTCTACTAGCTATGCCACCACTGCCACCAGCTCTAGCAGCTGTGCCACCACTACTACCACCTCTAGCAGGTCTGCCACCACCACCTATGTGAACACCACCACCACCCCTAGTAGCAACTCTGTTAACTCTCACACCACCTCTGTTAACTCTCACACCACCTCTACCACCACCTCCGTTAGCAGACCTCCCACCTTCTGTAGTATAATTCCTCCCACTCCTACCAGTAACAGTTTTATCTCTACCACCACCTACACCACCTGTGCGTTTAACTATTCTTGGTCTTCCACCCTTACCTTTTGGTTATCTCGTAGCTTGCTCAAGTGTTTTACAAGTCCTTACATTATGACCCAAGACAAAACATTAGTGCATCTCATTTTTGACCTCTTCACCATTGGACCTTTTGACTTACTCTCATCTGGACCTCTTTTCCTGATCTTTTTAGGTCTTCCAGGTCTAGTCCTATGAGGTGGTGGCAGTATTGGAGCAGTACCAACTTCTCTTTTCAGATTCCTTAAAGACATTGGAGTTATGACATATCCATAAGACTTCAAATATGTCTCTCTATAGTAAGAAGGGTGAACAAACAACTCTACATCAAACCTCCTATCCAAAATTGCTGCCACTGCATGTTTACAAGGTATGCCAGTTATATCCTAATACTTACATGAATAAGTTCTTGTAGCAAGATTCACATAATCACTAACCCCAGCTTCATTCCATGTCATGTTTTCCATCTCATACTTGTCATTTCCTGCATAACTCACACGCAGTCTTCTGACATCTTCAGAAATTTTATCCAATTTCTCTTTAATTTTTGGGCACAATAGTCCGTTAACCTTATCCATCGTCTCTCTATTGCTTTGATACCGTACCATCAGTTGTTTTCTAATCTTCTCAAACATGTAAATTAAAGGCTTGTCCCTTGCCTTCCCAATGTAGCTGTTGAATGACACACACATGTTATTTACACATAGGCTATTCCTACTCTTTGTAATGTATGCTGACCTTGCCCAAACCTTTAAGGGAATCTTCATTAACCAATCATGTGCATCCTTATTAACTTCATTCATCTCTTGCATATGTAGCACAAAATTAGATTATGTGTATGCTGTGGATGCATTCCAGAATATGTTTCTTTGTATTCTGCCTTTGTATTCCTGCCTGAAATTCTCATACATGTGTTTAATAGAGAACCTGATATCTGTTCCAGGATATTTATGCTCAAATACCTCAAGTAGACCCTGAAAATAAGAGAACAAAATATTATAAATATGTAAAACATTAAAGTAAGATAATAAATGACCATATACATTGAAAGATAAACATGTATACCTTCTGTCGATCTGAGATAAATGTGTACTTCTGATAATTGCCAACTAAAGCCATCAATTCATCCAAGAACAATTCCCAAGAGTCCTTGCATTCTGCCTCAACACAACCAATTGCAATTGGATAAAAGCCATTGTTGCCATCCCTACCAATAGCACACAATAAGTGTCCCACATAGGGTCCTTTCAAGAAACATCCATCTAGACCAATAAATGGTCTACAACCCTCTAAGAATCATTTCCACATAGCCTCTAGGGAATAGAACAACATATAGAATGAAATACCATCATCATTATAGGGTATTGTTCTTACATTAGCAACACTCCTGGGATTTGTTTCAAAGATTAAGGCACAGTAGTCCCTAGCTCTTGCAAATTGCTTTGAATAATCACCTTGAATCATTAGTAAAGCCAACTTCTTTGCTCTACCCACCTTTTGTTTTGTCACTTCAACATTAAATTCACTTTCAACTGTCTGCATAAAACCTTTCAATGAGCAATTTGAATCAGCCATAATCTTTTCAGTATAATGTTTTGCTAAATAACTATATGTTAGCTGACTGTTGTGCCTTACACCAGTACAATTGTGAGTATCATTGAATGTCTTTATTTGGAATGATTTATCTTCACCATTTTCAGAGGCATGAATCCTCCACCCACATTTAGCCTTGCATACCACTGTGACTCTATCTCCATCATTCTTCACAAATGATAGGTCAAACTTGCCTTTTATAGCTGCATCCCTTACTGCTTCTCTAAATTTTGCTGCAGAACCAAACTTCATGCCTATTTGAAGTTTTTTTTTCCCCAAGTCTATATGAACATTGAAATTTGGATAAGATGGGCCACTTGTGGCATCATCCTTACATTCTTCACCACTTGAGTATACCAAACTCATCAACATTTCACTTGGTGCATATTCAGAAGCTTGATAACTGCCATCATCCTTATCAGATTCAATCTCAGGTTCTTCATCATTTGTAACCTCATTCATCTCAGTTGCATCTTCATTATTTCTTACTTCATCAACCTCCTCATCTATCATAAAAGTTTCATCATAAAAGTCCTCATCTATCACATCTTCAATATCATTACCATTCACATCCTCGTCCTCAATTTCATTTCCATTTCTATCAACATCACTGTCATCTTCACTTTTAGGCAGATCAAAATCACTGTCATCTGCATTTTCAATTTCAGGCATATAAAAATCATTGTCATCTTCATTTTCATCTTCAATTTCAAGCACATCAAAATGACTGTCATCTTCAATTGTTATTGCAGGCACCTCTACTGATCTATCTCCATTATTCTCACCTTCTGCATTTCCTTCTTCAATAATTGACACCACATATATTTTAATTAGGGAGAACCTTTGGTTGTGTTCAAACATGTCAATGACATCCCTGTCAGTCTTCAACTCTTTTAAACTCCCATCAATGTAAGACCTGTAGAATAGTTTACTTGTTGTAGTAGGACAACTAAGCAGACCTATCATGTATGTAAGTTCTATAATTGACATGAGATCGCTGTCTATACCCTCATATATCTCAACAAACCCACCAACATATGGATTTAATTCTGTACTACCAAACTGACCACCATAATGCATTTCCAGTGTGTATAACTTTTGAAAAGCAGGATTAAAACCTAAAGCAATAAATTTCAACAAAACAATACCAAACATAAGATAACTAAAAAATCAATTCTGACACAGTTACAGTAATTTTAAACAAGTATAGTCAAACATCACTGGGACCACTACCCTATATTACTTAATTTAATGATCACTAGCTAAGACCAACAATACTCTAAGTACTACAAAATCATTAAACCCTAATATCAATACTCCCACCCAACAATAAGGACCCACATTGAAAAGGAAAGATTATAAAACCCTAAGAATTCCTCCCAAAAAAATATAGTATTTACTATTAATTTCAATAATAAATCCTTAAACCTTAAATTATGAATAAATTGTTTGAACAATAAACAAACCCTAATTTTTGATCACTGGGACCACAACCCTATAAACAAACCCTAATTTTTATTATAAAGCAATGACAAAGCAACGACATTGGTAAAAGTTTTTCACCAAACATCAAATTATACCTACCAAACATTAAAGACCCACATTGAAAAGAAAACAATATAAAACCCTAACTACAAAGCAACGACAATAGGTAAAAGTTTGTCCATACCTAGCACCATTGTGTCGAACAAAAGTGATACGAACCAGTTGGAATCCACCAAGATCTTCAACCATTGAGCGATTACAGAAAAAAGACACACACAACACTCGCTTTCATAAACACTCGACACTGGCTTTCATCAATACTCAGACACTGGATTTCATCAACACTCAGGCACTTGATTTTATCAACACTCAAACACTCGATTTCATCAACAATTGCTTTCATCAACAGTCGCTTTCATCAAGACTTACACTTGCTTTCTTCAACACTCAGCGCGCACACAAACACAGAACATAAATGGAGGCATAAAAATCGATTTAGGGTATACAACCCAACCCCTACACGACGTCATTTCACAAAGAGGCATAAACAACACAATACTACATCGTTTCATATGGGGGTATATTGCCAATTCAAAATTCACATTTTCATGTTAAAATCATATTAAGGGTATTCTTGACATTTCATAGTAACTTAACGGTTCTGTAACGGAATGAGGGCAATTTTATAGTTTCTGTTATATCAGAGGGTTTTTTTAATACTCGAGGGGGTTAGTAGATAGTTTCGATAAACAAGAGGGGGGTCTTTAGAAATTAGCCCTAAAAATAAAGTGCACTATAAAAGCAAGAGGGAGATGCCCAATCAACTTTAGCAACCGAAGTATAGCATTTCATACGAAATGCACCAGTTCCCAACCTCACTAGTTAAAAGGAAATGTGAACCTAATTCAACTAATCGGATTCTTTAAAGGCTATCCATGAAGTTTGAGGAAATCATAAAGCTATTCCAGAAAACTCAATTGACTGCAGGGTTAATTTAAAGCATAATTCTAATTTAAGATACAAAAGCTTTTATGTTCCCAATTTAAACAGTCCACTTTGTATTTGAACATCCAAATGGTCCGGCTTGTTTCCCTCCCTCTTTCAAATACTCAAACTTCACTACCCATAACAAACCCACCGAAGAAACCAACTCCAAACACAAACCACTCTCTCCTACACCTTTGTAAACACCTCCAAGAAGCCAAACAAGTCCATGCTCTCATGATCAAGACCTCCCAAATCTCCCACACTTACTCGGCGAGCCGGCTTGCCGAGTTCTACGCCACTTCGGACAATGGAAGCCTTGAATGTGCTGAAATGGTGGTTAGCTCCATGGAAGAGCCTTACACTTTTGCTTGGAATTCTCTCATTAGAGGAAGCCTCAAAAAGCATAGAACCCAAGAAGCCATTTCAATTTATAATCAAATGATATGCAAATCAGTCCAACCCGATCACTTTACCTTCACTTTAGTCCTCAAAGCATGTACCCAATTGTCGAAGCCGGAAATTGGGAAACGGCTTCAATCACAAATCATCAAAATGGGGCTTGAAAATAGTATCTTTGTTCGAAATAAGCTGATTCATGTATATGCGTTATCGGGGTCGATGGTTGATGCACGGAAGGTGTTCGACAGAAGTGCTGAACTAGACATTGTGACATGGAATAGCATGCTTGAAGGGTATGCCAATAATAAAGATGGTGAATCACTTCATCAAATGTTTGATACAATGCCTTTTAAAGATGTGGTGTCTTGGAATACTATGATTGCTTATTTTGTGGAAGTGGGTGAGTTTAGCGATGCAATGGAGATGTTTGGACTGATGCAGAAAGAAAGGGAACCAGCTGACAGAGTGACGTTGGTCAGTGTTTTAACTGCAGTGGCCCATTTGGGTGCACTTGCTCAAGGAAAGTGGGTTCATGCTTATATTAGGAAGCGGGGAATTGAGCTTGATGAGAACCTTGGATCGGCGCTTGTAAGCATGTATTCTAAGTGTGGGTGTTTAGAGGGTGCAATTGAGGCATTCAGTGAGACGGAGAGGAAGAGTGTTGACACTTGGAATGCCATGATAGGAGGGCTAGCCGCGAATGGCCAAAGCTTAGAAGCTATTGAGCTCTTCTCCAAGATGGAGTGTTCTAAGATTCGTCCCAATGCAATAAGCTTCTCTTGCATTTTAAATGCTTGCAGCCACGGAGGCTTGGTTGAAGATGGTTTGGGGTATTTCAGCAAGATGAAAATTGATTATGGAATTGAACCGGACATAGCACATTATGGGTGCGTGGTTGATCTCCTGGGTCGTGCTGGTTTGTTTGATAAGGTAGGTAAGATCATTAAACAAATGCCAATGAAACCTGATGCTGTTATGTGGAAGGCTTTATTGAGTGCATGTAGAATCCACAGGAATTTCGAAATGGGTGAAAAAGCCGGCCTTCAACTCATTGAACTTGCCCCAGATGATCATGCATGCTATGTTTTGTTATCAAACACGTATGCAATGGCTAATAAATGGGATCGAATTCATAAACTGAGAAAAAACATGTGGGAGAGAGGTGTAAGGAAACCACCTGGTTGCAGTTCAATTGAATTGGATGGTGTTGTTCATGAATTTATTGTCGGAGATATAATCCATCCGAGGAAGAAAGAGATCTATGAAATGCTTGATGAGATGGGAGACAAATTAAAGTTAGCAGGGTATGAGCCAGACACCAAGCAAGTTTTGTTAGATATTGATGAGGAAGAAATGAAGCAAACTTCATTGGGTCACCACAGTGAAAAATTGGCAGTGGCCTTTGGCTTCATCAGCACAAGACCTGGAACAACAATCCGAGTGATGAAAAATCTTCGGGTGTGCGGTGATTGTCATTCTGCCTTGAAGCTCCTGTCTTTGATTTACAACCGTGATATAGTTGTTCGGGATTCAAATCGGTTTCACCATTTCAAAGAGGGGTCATGTTCTTGCATGGATTATTGGTAAAATCTCTCCTTTTAAAATTGTATGATTTTTTTACACCCAATTAGCACCTGTACATGTTTGTGCAATAAAAAATGGAAAGCAAAAATGAAAAAATGTGATGTTCAAACTCCAATATGCTTCTTGCTTAGTTGCTATCATTTGCACAAGAGTGACATGATGTTATTAAACCAATTATAATTAATTTGCTTGAGCCGAAACCAGTTGAACTTGCATTTAGAGAAGATTGATATCTTCATGGATTACACAATCACAAGTCATGAACATCACATTGTCACATTTGATGAACAATGAAATGCAAATCATGGAAACACTTGTGGCATTCAAGTATCTTGTCAGAAAGTTGTGTGTGGGGTATCATTATGCATGTGAGAATCCATTTCATCTCTTGACTTATAGGTCTGTGCTTTGTATTCTCATCATGACTTAGAGTTTAGTTCTAGGGGTTTTTGTATGCAAGTATCTGATTGGACAAACAAAGTAACTTTGTTAATGTGGAGATATCACCATCCTAGCCACCATGAAGACTTTATATAGCACTAATCAACATCAACTGTAAACCACAAACATTGCTAGTGTTTGAGGACCAAACTGTTTCTTTACATCACATGAATGAAACTCCAAATCTTCAACACAGATGTCACATCCTCTCTCAAAGTGATCAAAACCATTTAAGGAATGCAAATATCCCCAACATCTATGTGTTGCACTCACTAAACACACTTCTAGACACTTCTAAACACACTTCTAAACACACTTCTAGACAAAATTCTAGAAGTGTGTTTAGTGAGTGCAACACATAGATGTTGGGAATGTTTGCATTCCTTAAATGTTCTGTTCCTTGGTGGGATGTATATGCGTTCTCTTGTGCTAGGATTCCATATGCAGTTGTTGATGTGAAACAAGAGTAATGCGGGGTGCGGAAACAGTTAGTTGATTTTAATTGTGAATAACTCCTTTAATGACCTAGATCTAATTATTAGGTCAACTTGCTCAATTTATGATTAATTAAATTATATAACCAATTTAAACATGCATCCACAATCACAAATATATGAAAAGTAAAGCAAGTTAAAGTTAGAGAGATTGCACCAGGATTTTAGCGAAGAAACCCCAATTGATAAAATACGTCAACTGTTTGCATGGGAAAAACCTCGTGTACTATGCAGTTCAAAGTAAATCAATCCACTATGTTTGAAACAAAGTATACCGAATTTTGACTCTGGCTCACATCCTATCGTTCTACACCACACCAACCGCTGACAATCCTCTGGCTTTGCGACTTCCCGTTCAACAGCAACTCGACCTCAGACTTACACTTGATACTTGTAGAAGAGTAGCAGGTAGATCAGACAATACTCCACGTTGCTCCAACCCTTTCAAAGTGTGACTGCGTTTACTTCTGTTCTTCAAGATCTGAATGCGATTGTAAAAGAATTAAATCCTGCTGATCATCCGGAATATCTGAATCTTCAATATAGCTTCAATTCCGATGAAATAGAGAACACTACAACTAAATCACTCATGAATATATATGTATGCTCTAAAAAATAAATTCAAAATAATCAAATTTGATTTTCTGAATTTTTCTCTCTCTAAAGGCTTTCTGAAAGTATAGAATTGATTTTCCTTAAAGCCGTAAATAAACCAATGTATATGACATGGTTTATATAGAGTTTGGAAAGTCCTAATCTCTCAGAAAATATGATAAATTTCGTGCATAGGATTTGTAAAAAAGTTGGAATCGAAAAGGAAACTTTCAGCAAAAAGGAAACTAAAATCCAAGTGCTACTAGAAGACCTTGAACCGGTTCAGCCATCTTGAACCGGTTCAAGATGGACAGTAAGGAATCCCACGGATTCTTGAACCAGTTCAGCCGTCTTGAACCGGTTCAAGATGAGTAGTCTTGAAATTTTGCAATATTTTGCAAATAAACTTGTTCCAAACCTTCCAGAACCCTTCCTAACTGTTCTCATTACCTCTCAACCTTCTTAGAGCATTGTCCTCATTATCTCGGAATGTAGTTTATCATGACCACTTGACTTGCTTCTTCAAAGCCGCATCCTATCTTTGAACTTTGAAATTATTAACCAAAAAATTACAACTCGATCGGACTTATTTTGACAACGAAATTAGCCAATTACAAAATCTATATCTCATAGTTGATACAAACTAAACCATTTTAAGGAATGCAAATATCCCCAACATCTATGTGTTGCACTCACTAAACACACTTCTAGAATCCTTTACAAATTTCTCTCTCTCTCTCTCTCTCTCTCTCTCTCTCTCTATGTATATATATATATATATATATATATATATATATATATATATGTTTACCTTAGTCCCATATAAATGGGTCAGCCACATGAATTGTCTCACTCCAATATTTTCTATTACATGTCATTTCAACTATTGTATTTAACTTTTTAAAGTCATTTTAAATACCCTCATCCCATATTATTTTTGGTCCTTCTCTCTCTTACCTTCTATTACAACAATCTTTCTCATTTGAACACTGTGTTGCTAGGTCTCCCATATAATGTCCAAACCATCTAAGTCTACTTTATCTAATTTTCCTGCCAATAAGTGTTGCACCTAATTTTCCTGACGCTTTCATTAATGACCCTATCTCTTCTGGTCACTCCACTTTTCCATCTTAACATTCTTATTTTTGCTACATAAAGTCGTCGTCCTTGTTTCTAAGTCTTGACTCCCAGGCATAACATATGGAAGAAAAACGTGCTTTGAGGCAAGATGTATGATGTATGATACCTTAATGAGGACACTAGTTCTCAATGGTAAAGCAATAAATTCTAAAGATAGATAACATGTTGTGCCTTGAATTGACATGTATAGCTCTCTACATTTTAGGTCGATCTCTTTTCTTGAATTAGCTAAGAACATTGGTAACTGCAGGGACAAATCATAAGATTGTTGATTTTGTTTAATGCAGTTTATATAAGGTCTAATGTACCTAAACTACAATAAATGAGTTTATGCTATGTTTGGGAGCATCAAATCGGTGCTTTGGATTTGGAACATGTTCTCAAACACTACACTAGTAAACTTGATGATAAATGGTAAGTCTTCTCTCTCACGCGTGCGTGCGCACACACACACAAACAGACGAATTAAGCAGGTAGTTCACTCGGAATTGGTTGACAAAGAACCCAACTAAAACTAATGTAGCGTTAACTAAATATCCTCCAATTTCAACTCCAAAATGTTGATATGGTGCTTCACGTAGCATTGAAAAAGCTCGATTGAGTGATTAACCTATAATTTGGTTTAATTTGATGGACAGTTAAGCAACGAGTTTATTTATTTGACAATTACTCACAATTTCTGTGATTTTCACCTATTTACATACAGTTGATTTAATCTCCAGATTTTCTTGAGCTAGTCATAAATATGGAGGGGAGACAAAAGGATTTGAACTGCAGGTACGGTCTATATCAATGAACTATATATTGGGTCCCATATTTTACATTTAACACACGATGGAGAAAATAAAAATGTGAGAAAAAGCTAGGAGAAAGAAGGATTTTACAAAATTGGGTTTGGCCAAAAGGTTACATCCAAAAGTGGTTAAAAAAATGTTGACAACAAACATTCACACCAAGGGTTGGCTCGGTTGCAAGGTTACTTAACCTTAATGTCTCATGAAATATCAACTCTCAATTAAATATAAATAATTATTTGGGATCACGTTTTCATAGTCATGCTCTGCTACTTAACCCGTTTTAAATTTGAGAACAATTTGATTGCCTTAATTGCTCCAAATAGTTGGTTTTACCATCGAAAGTGCTCCAACTTAAAAAAATTATGATCACACATTAATTTTTTATAAATTCATATCATAGAATATGAATATTTTGCTTAGGAGAAAGAGAGATCATCAATGATAATTGATAAAGTATTTGATTTATGTTAAAGAATTCTAAGGCTCTTCTTAAGATATCTCGAAACCCGAGCTCTCATTCTAAGTCTTGCTTCCCCAAAAGAATAATCGCGCCAACCATGAATTAGCCAACTCAAATTATTACTCACACTAGGTTATTTTATTTTATTTTACATGTACAATACCTATCAATCAATCAACCGAGAAATTTTTAGGCAGTAGGTAACCACGTGGTATGGGAACAATCACATTCAAATATGTAAGCAAATGTATTGAATTTATTCAAAAAAAAAAATTGTCGCATAATCAAATGTGATTGGTGGGAATTACATAGTTACGGACCACTTAAGGATACCTCAGTGCCAGCACCCCATTAACCACCAACCTTAGTGTTAGTGCCCCATTCACCATATTTTGGGAGATTTGTCCTACACCAAATTCGAATGAGAAATAAAATAGGTATATATGAGTTGAATGTTAATTCTATCTAACAATTTAAGTTTTACGATTAGATTGCGAAACATCAAGTTATGTTTAACTCTAAAGAAATTGATACCCTAGAATCTTATTCCATTTTGGGGTATTAATATGTAATAATACAAACTTTTATATATATAATCAAGTGGAAACAGAGGAAGCTGGGGTATATACTTATATTTACAGTCTTTTATTTTTATTTTTATTTTTTTCCCTTGTAACAAATTAAACAACAACTAGTTAAACTAATCCAATCAATAGAAATAATTTGTACATCTTCCATAGCCAATTTTCTAAAGCTTAGGCTTTAGGCCTAAGTATAGATTGATATTTATAGAGAGAAGTGGAGAAGGGATTCCATTATTTTAAAGCTCTAGTCGTCCTTGTGATTACAAGTTCCAATGCCAACTAATAATGACATGCCAATGACTTAGTAAAAAAATAAAAATAAAAATAAAAATATTCTTTCCATTTTTTTATTTTCTCTGGAAAGACATTGGGTGGGTAAGTTTATAATTTCTTTCCCTTTTTTTTTAAAAGCAAGAGTAGCTTTATAATTGCGGTTGTAACTTGATCTTTTATATATATATGTATATATATATATAAAAGCATGGCTCTTAGAGTGACAGAGAGCATAAAATGTGCCAGTTTGACCCAAGACTAGATGATCTCTTTTGTCAGTAAGTTAGTTATGTAATTATTTTATTTTATTTTATTTTTTATTTTATTTTCTTTTCCGGCAAAGACAACCTAACCACAACGATCCAAAAATCACAAAAAAATTAGCTTCCAACATCCGCCACCGTAAAAGG